CCAACATTTTTACCTCAGCCCTTTTAGTATTACTGACTTTAGTAAGTTGTAATTCTGATCCTTCGTTGCAAAAATATTTTGTAGAAAACACAGATAACAAAAATTTTATTGCTCTTGATGTTTCTCCAAGTATTTTAAACGTAGAAAAAACAAAATTATCTGCAGAACAAAACGAAGCTTTAAAATCATTTGACAAGATGAACATTCTGGCTTTTAAAGCGAACACTACCAATCAGGTTCAATTTGAAGCAGAAAGAGCCAAAGTCAAAGCGATTCTAAAAGATCCTAAATACCAGCAATTGATGAGTTTTGGCTCAGGTAAAGATGGCGCGTCAATAAGTTATGTAGGTTCTGATGACAACATCAAAGAGTTTGTAGTTTTTGCCAATAGAAAAGAAAACGGATTTGCAGTAGTGCGTGTATTGGGCGAAAACATGAACCCAAATAACATCATGACTTTAATGTCTGTTTTAAGAGAATCAAAAATCGACATGGAACAATTGAAACCTTTACAGCAATTGGTTAAATAATACATCTATCTTACTTTAAACGAGAAAGCTCCATAATTTTGGAGCTTTTTTTTATATAACATTTTTAGAAGATTATACTGAATAATACTTTATTTGAATTGCTTTGATATGAACCTAATTTATCTATATTTGTTATTAACCAAAACATGAAAATAAATTAATATGGTACAAAAAACATCGAATGCCTTTATAGCGGCATCATGGGTAGCTCTTGGAGCAGGAATGGTTGGATACATCGTTGGACTTGCTAGAGCCGAAATGCTACTAAATGAAAAAGGATATTACTTTACAGTTCTAATGTTTGGTCTTTTTGCTGTAGTTTCATTACAAAAAAGCGTTAGAGACAGACTTGAAAAACTTCCCGTAACAGATATTTACTACGGAATTTGCTGGTTCGGAACACTTTTATCAATTGTACTATTAGCTGTTGGACTTTGGAATGCTACCATTTTACCAAGTGAAAAAGGTTTTTACGCATTTGCATTTTTATTAGCATTGTTTGGCGCTATTTCAGTACAAAAAAATACGAGAGATAATATGGCATTTAGCCAAAATGAGTAATCTCTTAGCATTATAATCAAGCAAAAACAACTTCCAGGTCAACAAAACGAAAAGCTCCATTATTGGAGCTTTTTTATTACAAAATACTGTACTGCAAAAATTTAATATTAACAAAAATTAATCTACATTTATCCCTTAATTAACATCTAAAAATCATTGATGAAAACTACTTTAAAAACCCTATTACTTTTTTTAATTCTTTTACTAAACAGCTGTTCTAGCGATAATAACAGCGAAGAAAATCCTGAAACCCCTACTTCACCAACCTCAAAATTTGCAATGACAGCAAAAGTTGATGGCACATTGTGGGAAGTCAACAATCCTTTTAACTCAAATTTTGCCACAAAGCCATTATTTGATTATTATCCTGCAACAGAATATATTCAACTTGTAGGAAGAAAAGGATTAGAAGAAATTAGACTTTACATTAAAAGAAGCGATCTTAAAATAGGCAGCTATACTATTACTAAAAGCACATATGACGCCTCAAAAACACAGATTGAAGTTTCGATGGCTTTGAGTAAAGAAAATATGCAGGAGGTAATTGAAGGAAATATATCAATAACTGCAATTGATTTAAGTGCAAAAACTCTTGCAGGTACATTTTCATTTAGTTGTGTTGAAGACGATTCAAAACCTGTAAGCGCTTCAAACCCTATTACAACAAAAGTAACAGATGGTACTTTTAATTTTAAATATGATTTTGCTTATTCAGAATGAAGATTGAATGTTGCAAAACTATACCTGATCTCTTTTTAAAGAATCAACATACCATAAAACTAAAAAAGCTCCAATTTTCATTGGAGCTTTTCTTTTCATATTAGAATTTGAGATTATTTACTCAAATACATTTTTCTTCTAGAGTACAATTCGTAGAATTGATCGTCTTTTAAGTCATCAATAAACAAGATACTTTCTCCTGTCGATTTCATCTCTGGTCCTAATGCTTTGTTTACATTATGGAATTTACTGAAAGAGAAAACCGGTTGTTTGATCGCATAACCTTTTAATTGTGGGTTAAAATCAAAGTCAGTTACTTTATTATGACCTAACATTACTTTCGTAGCATAGTTTACATAAGGCTCTCCGTAAGCTTTTGCAATAAATGGTACCGTTCTTGACGCTCTAGGGTTTGCCTCGATAATATAAACTGTATCGTCTTTTATCGCAAACTGAATATTGATTAGACCAACTGTTTTCAGCGCTCTTGCAATCTTTTTAGTATGATCTTTAATTTGTTGCATTACGAATTCTCCTAAGTTAAAAGGAGGCAATGTAGCATTACTATCTCCAGAGTGAACTCCGCAAGGTTCGATGTGCTCCATAATTCCTATGATATACACATTACCATCAGCATCACAAATTGCATCAGCCTCAGCTTCGATTGCTCCGGCTAAATAGTGATCCAGCAATAATTTATTTCCTGGAATCGTTTTCAATAAGTTGATAACGTGTTCTTCTAATTCTTTTTTGTTGATTACGATTTTCATTCCCTGACCTCCTAATACATAAGAAGGACGAATCAATAATGGGAAATCTAAAGTATCAGCAAGTGCAGAAGCTTCGTCAGCCGTTTCTGCAATTCCAAATTGTGGGAAAGGAATATGTAGTTCTCTCAATAAATCTGAGAAACGTCCTCTGTCTTCTGCTAAATCAAGTGCATCAAAACTAGTTCCGATAATTTTTACTCCGTATTTAGATAATTTTTCAGCCAGTTTCAAAGCTGTTTGTCCACCTAACTGTACAATAACACCTTCTGGTTTTTCATGCTGAATGATATCGTAAATATGTTCCCAGAAAACTGGTTCAAAGTATAATTTATCAGCCGTATCAAAGTCAGTTGAAACCGTTTCAGGATTACAGTTGATCATGATTGTTTCGTAACCACATTCTTTAGCAGCCAAAACTCCGTGTACACAAGAATAATCAAACTCAATTCCTTGTCCAATTCTGTTTGGTCCTGAACCCAGAACTATAATTTTCTTTTTATCGGTTACAATACTTTCGTTATCTACATAACGCTCACCATTTGCTTTTTCGATTTCAGCCTCAAAAGTAGAGTAATAGTAAGGTGTTTTTGCCTTAAACTCAGCCGCACAAGTATCAACCAATTTAAACACACGGTTGATGTTTTGATCCATACGTAAAGTATGCACTTCACTTTCTAAACAATTTACCATGTGAGCAATTTGTCTGTCGGCAAAACCTTTTTGTTTCGCTTCAAGCAAAAGTTCTTTTGGAAGATTAGATATCTTATAGTTCGAAATTTCTTTCTCTAAAGTATAAAGTTCCTCGTATTGTTTCAGGAACCACATATCGATTTTAGTAATTTCATGAATACGGCTCAACGGAATTCCCATTGCGATAGCATCATAAATTACAAAAACACGATCCCAACTTGCAAAAGTTAGTTTCTCTATAATCTCTTCGTAGTTTTTATATCCTTTTCCGTCAGCACCTAAACCATTTCTCTTAATTTCAAGAGATTGAGTTGCTTTATGTAATGCTTCCTGAAACGAACGTCCAATTCCCATTACCTCACCTACAGATTTCATCTGAAGACCTAAAGTTCTGTCGGCACCTTCGAATTTATCAAAGTTCCAACGAGGTATTTTTACGATTACATAATCCAAAGTTGGTTCAAAAAGAGCCGAAGTCGATTTTGTAATCTGGTTTTGCAATTCATCTAAGTTGTATCCTAAAGCCAGTTTAGAAGCTATTTTAGCAATTGGATATCCAGTTGCTTTAGAGGCTAAAGCAGATGAACGAGAAACACGAGGGTTAATCTCGATCGCTACAATATCTTCTTTTTCATCTGGCGAAACTGCAAATTGTACGTTACAACCTCCAGCAAAATTCCCGATACTACGCATCATCAGGATGGCATAGTCACGTAATTTCTGGAATGTTGTGTCTGATAATGTCATTGCTGGTGCCACCGTAATCGAATCTCCAGTATGAATTCCCATTGGATCCATATTTTCGATCGAACAGATGATGACAACATTATCATTTTTATCTCTTAAAAGTTCTAACTCATATTCTTTCCATCCCATCAAAGCTTTGTCAATCAAAACTTCGTGAATTGGCGATGCTTCAAGTCCGCGAGTTAAAAGCTCATCAAAATCTTCTTTTTTGTAAACAATTGCTGCTCCAGTTCCTCCAAGTGTAAACGAAGGACGAATTACAAGCGGAAAACCAAATTCCTGTGCAATTTCTTTTCCTTCTAAGTACGAAGTAGCTGTTTTTGCGGGCGCAGTTGGTACATTAATTTTTTCTAAAAGCTGTTTAAACTGCTCTCTGTCCTCGGTAATATTAATAGCGTTTACGTCAACTCCAATTAATTTTACTCCAAAATCCTGCCAGATTCCTTTTTCTTCAGCTTCCAAACATAAATTCAAAGCCGTTTGTCCGCCCATTGTTGGCAAAACAGCATCAATTTGTGGATGTTCTTTCAGAATCTCAATAATCGATTTTGTAGTTAAAGGTTTCAAATATACATGATCGGCCATTGTTGGGTCGGTCATAATAGTCGCTGGATTTGAGTTTATCAAGATAACTTCAATCCCTTCTTCACGAATAGAACGAGCAGATTGAGATCCTGCATAGTCAAATTCGCAAGCTTGACCAATAACAATAGGTCCTGACCCTATTATTAAAACTGATTTTATTGATGTGTCTTTAGGCATTTTGTATGTATTGTGTAGTTATTATATGTATTCAAAATCATTCACAGTGCTTTAGAAACTAGAATGTTACATTTTTTTTACCGACAAGGTATAAAAAAAGGCGATACTAAAAAAGTAATCGCCTTATGTATGTTTATACAAACATTATTTTTTGTGTCTAGGCTCGCTAGAAACAGTTAATTTATGTCTTCCTTTAGCTCTTCTACGCGCCAGAACTTTTCTTCCATTCGCAGAAGCCATTCTGTCCATAAATCCGTGCTTATTTCTTCTTTTTCTTTTCGATGGTTGAAATGTTCTTTTGCTCATTGCTTTGTATCTTTAAAATGGTGTCTATTTTCTGTTTTTCTGTTTTGAATATCGTTATTCCAAAACCGAGTGCAAATATACAAAGACTTTTTTTTCTCGCAAGTAGTTTTATAAAAATATTTTTAATTCATTTTACTATATTTGCAATCACAAATATACATCTATTATGTTTCACAAAAATATTAAACTTATTTTAGCCGGACTTCTTGTAGTTGCTGGCATCTGGCAATTTACCGAAAGCAATATCGGGAACGGAATCTTCCTTATATTATTGACGGCAATTCCAATATTTCTTTACTTTAAAAACGAATTTATCCTTTTAGCCTTCCTAAAATTAAGAAAACAAGACTTCGAAGGTGCTAAAAAATGGCTGGCATACATCAAAAACCCGGAAGCGGCTTTAGTTAGAAAACAACAAGGATACTTTAATTACCTTCACGGAATCATGTTATCTCAAACAAATATCAATCAGGCTGAGAAACATTTCAAAAAAGCAATCGAACTAGGACTATCAATGGATATGGATTTAGCCGTAGCAAAATTAAACCTTGCTGGAGTTGCCATGTCACGCCGCAGAAAGCTTGAAGCAACAAACCTACTTAACGAAGCTAAGAAATTAGACAAGCAAGGAATGCTGAAAGAGCAAATCACAATGATGAAAGATCAAATGAAGAAAATCTAGATTTCTTTAAATCACAATATTTTAAAATCCCAAATTCCAAAAGAGTTTGGGATTTTTTGTTGTCAGGCTCATGGGAATCGAAGCGTCAACCCAATCTTGTCTTTGCAAGGAACGAAGCAATCTCATGCAGCACATCTTCAAAGCTTGCTTATTGTTAGGATGGTTGCTTCGTGCCTCGCAATGACTTTGTTTGCGCATACATTTTTCACGCAACTACCTTTATATAAGATCCCTAATCACAAAACATTTGGAATTTGGGATTAAAAAAAAATGGAATTTCCCAAAATTTAATCTTCCAAGATGATCGAAGGTAAATTCTCATTCAGCCATTTATATTTATTCAGGATCATAATATGAGTTCCGCCTTTTACCACAATACAACTGTTGATATACTTTATAGGAAAAACATCATCCTGATCGCCATGAATATGAATCACTTTTGTATCGATTTCATTTCTGTCCCATAAAATAACCGATTCTACTGCCCATTGCAAATACTTAAGATCACGAACCGCTAAAAACTTCTCGTATAATTTAATTCGTTTATTGATTTTTTCTCCAAACGAATATTTTGCCAGATTTTCGATATTCAAAATCAACTTCATCGGAATCAGCTTGTAGGCTTTTGTAGTTTTACCAATTTTCATTCTTCTTGGAAATTCAACATTACTTCTCACACTCGAAATAATAATTACTTTTCGGGCTTCGATATGTTTTGCGATTTCCTGAACCAAAATTCCTCCAAAAGAAACCCCAATTAAAACCGGATTCTCATGTTTGATATTTTTCGAAATTCTAAGCGCATAATCAGACAAGGATTCTTTGGGTTGCGGAATCTCCCATTCTAATAAACATACCTCAAAAACAGATTCGTCTAATTTGATTCTTTCAAAAATAGCAGGACTAGCCGCCAGACCAGGCATAAAATATACAGGGATTTTACTCATTTTAACAGAAACAGATTATGGTTACAGCTTTTAATTACAAGCTAAAATTACTTTATTTAGCAATATGCACTGCAAATCTTACACCATAATTATTTTAAACAAAATAAATTTACAAAAAAGCATACGTAACCCAAGCCTTTACCGGACTATCAAAAAATAATTTTATATTGAAAATCAAATGATTACCTTTGCACTCATTATAACCAATATCAAAAGATCCGTCCAAGATCTTTTGCACAATACTATTAACGTTCTTTTTCTATTATTTTTTTAATTCAATCCCCAAAAAACATGACTAATATGGAACCTATTGAAACTATGGAAATCAAAGACAATACTTTTGCAAGACAATTTGAAACCATAGTCCCTGAAGGATTACTTTCTGTTGAATATTCATTTCAGGAAAAGAAAATCTTTCTAACCAAAATCAACTCACCAGAAGGTTTTGACAATCAAGCATTAATTGATGTCGTACTTAAAAACATCATGGAACTAATTATCGAAAAAAAATTCAGATTAATGCCTATTCATCCCAGAATTGTATTATTCATCAAAAAAAATCCTCAGTACAAGGAATTACTTCCTCCCGGAATTCGAATTTAATTTTTAAAAATACCCAATAAGTCTTAGCCATAGCCCACCGATAACCATGTAAATAAGTAACATTGTTAATCCGGTGACTAAACCTTTGACCCACCAGCTTTTTAAATCAACGTAGCCGCTCCCAAAGAAAACAGGTGCCGGCCCATGACCATAATGCGTTAAAGTTCCGTAAAGAGATCCGACAAAACCAAGCATAAAAGCTAATAACAAACCAGGAATTCCAAGCGAAACCCCTACACCAAGCAAAGCCGCATACATCGCAGCAACGTGTGCGGTCGCACTTGCAAAAAGATAATGACTAAAAAAGTACACCAGTATAATAATAGGAAAAGCCATTTGCCAGCTTAAACCTCCTATTTCGGCTTTTACCAAATTACTAAACCAGCCTATAAATCCTAATTCGTTGAGCGAACTGGCCATCATCACCAAAACCGAAAACCAAACGATGGTATCCCACGCTCCTTTTTCGGCTTTTACATCTTCCCACGTCAATACTGATGTTAAAAGCAAAACGACCAAACCAATAAATGCCGTTGTGGTAGCATCGATAGAAAATAAATCTCCTGTCATCCAAAGAAATAACAAAATAAAGAAAGTCAGCAACATCAACCATTCATCGCGAGTGATCGCACCCATTTCTTTTAGCCTCTGACCTGCAATTTGCGGAGCATCTCCTGTTTTCTTTAATTCAGGCGGATAGATTTTATATAACACAAAAGGAATCACAAAAAACGAAACCAAACCCGGAACGATTGCAGCAGTTGCCCAGGAAATCCAGCTTATTTTAATTCCTAAATCAAGGGCGAATTTTTGACACATTGGATTACTGGCCGTCCCCGTTAAAAACATTGACGAAGCGATCAGATTGACATTATAACTACTCAAAGTCAGGTATGAACCCAATTTCCTATGTGTTTCCGGCTTTTCAGGATCTGAGCCAAAACTCATTGCCATCGATTTCATGATAGGATAAATAATCCCTCCTCCTCTTGCTGTATTACTTGGCACGGCTGGAGCCAAAACCAAATCAGCTAATCCTAAACCATAGGCCAGACCAAGAGAACTTTTTCCGAATATTCTAATAAATAAAAAAGCGATTCTGTTTCCTAATCCTGTTTTAATAAAACCTCTCGCAATAAAAAACGAAATCCCGATCAGCCAGATTACTTTATCCCCAAAACCTCTCAGTGCCAAAGTAATTGATTTTCCCGCCTCACCCGGAGCTAACACTTGCGAAAAAGCTGTTAATGCAATAGCAATCATACACATGGTTCCCATTGGCGCCGCCTTTAGAATGATCCCTAAAATAGTAGAGACAAAAATGGCAAATAAGTGCCAGGCTTCATTTTTTACTCCATCCGGAGCAGGAATTAACCAAATTGCAATTCCAGCTACAAGTGTGATTATGGCTTGAGGAATTTTTACTTCTTTCATAAGATGAGAATTAAATTAAACTAAAGTCTGCACTGAAACTGAATTAAAAACAGGTTGTCATTATAATATGCTGTATTAGGAATATTTTTATCGTATTTATCGATTTCAAATCCCATTTCAATACGACCTGTATAAGCTTTACCAAATTCAAGACTTATCATTGGCGTATAAGTTCTCCTTAAATTTGGACTTGTTTTAAAATTATTATCAAAGGATTCAAATCGGCAGGATAACTCCAATGCAGTCAGTTTTTTATAATCGACCAGATATCTTAAATTAGGTAAAAAATAAATACCACGCATTTGATAATCATCAATTTTAGCAGTTCTGCCTTCCGGAGGCAAAGAAAAATATAAATTTTGATTCGTTCCCTGTTTATATTCAATTTGCAAATCAAAAGTAAATTTATCGGTAAGCTTAAAATCACTTGTAATATCTGCCCCTACAGCAAAAACCTTTTGATTAGATCTTTTTCCAATTCCACCATTCAAACCCAAATTTATTTTATGAACTTTTGATAATCCAAAAACCCATCTGGTAGCATATTGTTTTCCGTTATCATTGTCCATTTCCTGATTTCTTCCGTTTCCGTTTAAAACTGAAATAGCACTAACTTATAGGGATTTTACCTACATCGACAGATCCTGTTGCAGAAGCTCCGATTTGAAAACTCGTCCATCCGTTTTTCCCAAATTCATAATACT